CCGTCCAGAAGACCTATACAATTTTTTTCCTTTTGATTTTTTACCTGGATTACTGAGATGCATCAGGACATTATTAAATGTAATTGAATGCATATGTGGAGTTTACTTGTATTTAGTCCCATCACTCATCTCCATCAGCTCCATCCTGTGGTCCATGACGTGACGCACGCGCCTGCAGGAGGCAGATAGTTTATAAAGCAGGAAGCAACCCTCAGTCACCACAGACCGAGTCCTCCACCTGTATGGGCTGCCATGTCTCTGGAGGATCTGCTGGTTTTACCCGCGGACGACAGCGGCGCGTCTTTTCTCAACGTCTCCAGCGGGGTTTGGGGTGCCGCCCCGGAGCAGCACCAGTACATCATCTGGACCCCCGGCGTCGGGATCGCCGCGGTCTACGGACTCATCATCATCGTGGGTCTGGTGGGGAACGTGACTTTGATGAAGACGTGYCTGCTGGTGAAGTCGATGCGCACGGTGCCCAACTTGTTCCTGTCCAGCCTGGCTCTGGGGGACCTGCTGCTGCTGGTCACGTGCGCCCCGGTGGACGCCAGCCGGTACCTGCTGGACGAGTGGATGTTCGGCCGGCTCGGCTGCAAGCTGATCCCTTTCATCCAGCTCAGCTCAGTGGGGGTGTCCGTGTTCACCCTGACTGCGCTCTCCGCGGACCGGTACCACAGCTCTGCCACCCGAACACACTGTAAAAACATGACATGTTGGTTTTACTTAACCTTGTTATGTTACCTGGTTCCACTTAACTGAGTTGAGTAAATTTAAAGCAATATACAAGTTTTTTAGCCAAAGAACATGAGCATGTTGCTTTGAATGTACTCAACTCAGTTAAGTGGAACCAGGTCACATAACATGGTTAAGTAAATCCAACATTTCAYTTTTAGAGTGCACATTCAGAGACCTGCTCTAACTTTATTATTCTTCACTCAAATCTGATCCAACAATAATGCGCATCTATTAACTTTTAATTAACAATTAATCCACATCAATGCACAAATAACATGTGTTTATGGACACATTTCAAAAATAGGACCTTTAACATGCTTTAAACCATTTGAGGTTTTGTTATTCCTTTAATTGAATATTTGTCTCCCAAAATCTTAACGAGGCATTTAACTGTCAGGACCTGATGGTTCATGTTTGACACAATCAGGTCGGGTCCTGCAGAGGGGCCACCTTCAGTCGTTCCGTGTCACAGCTGAGCTGTAAGGAAAATCACCATTTGAGCAGTTCTTTTTGATTTGTGTTTCTGTGTTTTTTCTAGGATTTTTGGTCTCCATTTTAAAAAAAAAACCATGTGTTTTACATGTGATCCCATGTGGAAAAACATGCAACATGGTTTCATGTTTTATGTTTCGCATGTTCATTTCGTGTTTTCCAGTCTGATATTCTCGTGGTTCTTGAAACTCGCATGATTCCCATGTGCAAAACATCTTACATGTTTTTTTTAAATGTGAAGTTTATGTGTTTATGTTGTTGTCTTTAAAGTGTGACAATAAGTGAAAAAACAGTGAGTACAATAACGAACAACCGCTGAATGATAAATAAATAAACAAATAAATAAATACTATCAAACCTTATGGAAGTATATTCACAATTTAACAGTTCATTTTTGTTAATTAGTGAAAAAACAGCTTGTTTAATGCTGCAGCTTCCAGATGTGTTGTACAGCTGCCCTGCCATATTGAAACTATTGAAACCAGTGAAAATGAGGCTATACAGTCATCTGCAGTACTAACAGTTATCATTGCAGTAATCCTAATGTTCTTRTTGACAGTAAACAAGTAGAAAATGTCTGAAGTAACACTGGGGTACCATGCTTTCACACAGCAAAGACAACCATATTCGTCCGAGATAAGAAAAAAAAACACCATTCARTAACTGTAATGGGATAATTAATGAAAAGGAATCAATGGCAATAAGGAGACAACAAAACAAATAAGCCTACAAAATGTTTTCTACAGAATATTAAACAAGGTTCATTAGGTTAGACCAATTTACCCTTCCATTACATACACTGTAAACACCTGTTTACATTTAAAATCCAGAGAGTTAGTAAAATCAACATTTTTTTCTCCCTGTTTATCTCTCCTATTAATTAATTTTGTTGAAAGATTTAATAAAGTTTTGACCAGAAAAGCAGAAATGAATCAACTGGCAATACTTGCTTAGTTTTAGAAACGTCAAACTGAAAAGTTTGTTGAAAGGTCGATGCAATRACAGAATATTTGAGGAGTGAAAAGTGCAAACACCATAATCTTTAGGCAAAGAGACACATCCAGCTCAGGGTGGAGAAAAACATCAGAAAATGTGTCCAGGGTTTTTATATTTCTGACATGTTTGACATTTCCTGGCTTTTCAGTCAGAAACTGCAGATATTGAGCAGGTTTGTTTAGATGTTTATGGATTTTAGCAGCAGCTGGGATTATTCTGATGGTCTCCACGGCTCAGAAAATATCCTGCTTTGATTTTCTCTGTTGTGAAATCTACAGAGACATTAACTTTTTCTTTCATCTGCCTTTGCTGGCTTCATTTGTTGATTCAAAGTTACTAATTAGACAATAAAACCTCCTCCTGCTGCTGTCTCTGATTAGATGCACATTAAAGCATCTTTGATGAAGTCTTCACGGCTCCTTTCTGTTCTCCTGCCCCCCTCAGGTACAGAGCAATCGTCAAGCCGCTCGACAGCCACAGATCCAATCCCACGCTCAGCATCAGCCTACGCGTCGGGGCCATCTGGCTGCTCTCCGTAACTCTGGCCGTCCCTGAGGCCGTCTTCTCCGACCTGCACACCTTCACCACCAGCCACACCAACGAGACCTTCGTGACCTGTGCGCCTTACCCCCACGCCGGRGAGCTGCACCCCAAGATCCACTCCACCGCCTCCTTCCTCATTTTCTATGTCATCCCGCTGCTCGTCATCTCCGTTTACTACTTCTTCATCGCTYGCAGTCTGATCAGCAGCTCTGTGGACATTTCTGCTGAAGGACACCTGCACCTTCAGAAACAGGTGTGGGTTCAAACGCCTCTCTTTGTCTGTGCCGTCTCCCAGAGGAGTACTTTATGTTTTTTTATTTTTTGTTTTAATCTTAACTGGAACAAAAGAGGAAAACAATGTTACTTGTCAAACAAAGCATCATTATGCTTTTAAAAAAACAGCCAAGGGGAGACAGTGAGGGAGTCAAGGTGATTTGAAGGGGTGGCCAATGCTGCCCCACACCCACCAGCCTGGTGCCACCCCTGGTAACTTACACTGTACTGAAGCCTTTGTTAGTGTTGWCTTTCAAAAGCCCAATTAAAGCTGCTCACACATTTAACGTCTATTTTAACCCTTTAGAAACCAGGCTGGAAATAAACTAATGTCAGACCTTTTCTACTTTTTGTTGCTATTAAATTCTACCAAAAACAGAAACAGGAGCACAGTGCACACAGCCCTGCAGTATTTTTTATTATGGGATTTCTTTCAAAAGGTTTTATGTATCCAAAAACTTTAATGAATAACACAGTTATTTAAAATGTGGTTAAAATAAAACTAAAACTTTTAATTTGATGAAGTCTATAGATTTCAGAGATTTCTACACATAGAGTGAAGTAAACCTACTGAGTTTACCACATCCCTTYGTCTAGTCCACCTTAAATCATCCAGTCCACCTTAAATCCAACACAGACAGAGAAAAAGTCAAGTTGAAAATCTGGTTTTGGATGAATTAAAAACTGTAAACACTGAATAACGTGCTGAGTTGGGGCTCTGGTTTTAGTTCCTTGATGTTTCCTCACCTCTTATTGCCTCCCCTCCGCACGACAACAGAACCAGAACTAAAATGGTTCAGTTCTCTTGGTACCAGCAAGCATGTGACCACCTCCTCCCGGTCCCATTGAGCTTCAGAAATAATAAAAGAGAAAAGAAACAAAAAGCAGACTAAATCTGAACTAAAACAGCAACCTCTGAAAGACAAAGAGGACAAAGTCTCTCTTTAATTGTCCACTTTTAGCTGTCAGATTACAAAACAACAACAGTTTTGATCGTTTAAATCATTTAAACACAAAGATGTCAAAAGCGCTCATGTACCAGCTACTAAACGGCATTTTATGAAAGATGTTATGTTTTCTATCATTCTGAACATGGCATTTTAGAATATTTCTCAAACAAAAACATTTAAATTTGCTGAGCAGGTTTTACTGACTGTTAAAATAACAATGAATGTATAACTAAATAAGATGTATAGTAAAAATGAAAATGTATTTGACTGCATTCCAGTGACAGAAAAAGCACTTTGTTGCCAAAAGGTAATCTTCGTCACTAAATCTTCTGGTTGCTCAGCAACTTCTCAAAGAGTCTCTGTTAAATTGAAAGTCGCTCTTTTCAATCTTTACTCAGTATGGATTAAAGGACAAAGTGTTGCACTGAAAGGAAAAGTCAATTCAATAAGGCTGCAACAAATAAAAGGCTTCAGATCTGTCAGTTTCACAGATGACTTGAATTTGGACGTGGAMGACGAAAATGATTCCCTTTGTTTCAAAATGTTTGCAGTTCACTATTTGAAGTAAAGTGTTTGCAAAATATTTAACAAATCACTGGACAGACACTTTCAAATAGTAATGATTGGTTGTACAACGCAGCCATTTGTACAGATGTTAAACCAAATTGTGATTTGGTAGTAGCTGATTGCACAATATTGCATGAGATTATTTTCAATATTTGACCAAAATGGATACAAATCCATCATTTCTCATGAGATGATTTGTTTAAAACTCTGACATGATAAGCAACCAAAGACAAAAGAAAAACTGTGAAGGAAGTCAGGGCCTTTATTGATTTGGGCAAGTTTTAATATTACAAGACTGAGTGTTTGAAGGCAGAAGACTGTATTAGCAGGAGTGCAGCCACAGCTTCATGTCTTCGCAGGTAGTAAATGAAAATGATGACATAATGACAGATATATTGAATTTCTTGCTTTGTCGTTTGTCAGATCAAATCCCGGAAGCGTCTGGCCAAAACCGTGCTGGTGTTTGTGGGTCTGTTTGCTGTTTGTTGGCTGCCCAGCCACGTCATCTACCTTTACCGCTCCTACCACTACGGCCAGGTGGACACGTCGCTGGCCCACTTCATCGCCAGCGTGTGCGCCCGGGTCCTGGCCTTCACCAACTCCTGCGTGAACCCGTTCGCTCTGTACCTGATGAGCAAAAGCTTCAGCAAGCACTTCAGGAAGCAGCTGCTGTGCTGCAGCTCTCCCAGACGCCTGTACAGCCAGAACAGCGCCAGCACCAACGTGACCACTGTCTGAAGGACCACCCCCCCCCCYTCATGCTGAAGCAATCATTTGAAAATGCTTGTTGACAACTTTCTAATCAAACACAAAGGGGTAATTTTGCTGTTAAACACTGTTTAAAAGAAAAATGAGCTCTGCAGATTGAACAATGCCTGTACAAAACATTTTCTCTGTTGCTGTGTTTATCCTCCAGAAGAGTTATAATCCAAAAGGACATGTTGTGGCTTTAAACTCCAAACCATTCAGATGGAAAAATGATGTAATTTCATGTTTTTCTGTGAAACTGAAATGATCTCAGCTGCCATTAGAAGTGGACCCAAAGCCTGAACCGACCAGACTTTAGTTTTGTTGTCAATATTTTTGTCTCTTTAAAAGCTTGTAGCAATGCAGCGCTTCCTTCTCACATAAAAACATTTCATGTATGTAAAATCTTTCAACCTAATGTGATCATTTTGTTTTGTTGTTTTACCTGAAAAGCTGTTCTCAAATATAAATCGACATATTTTTCAAGTAATTTGTTTTTCTTTTAACATAAACCACTCAACATTTATATGTAATGATGTATTTTGTGGCTTTGCTTCTGTTCATTGTAAATTATTGTTTTTAAATAATTTAATTTAATTAGCACATTTAAAATCTTGTTTTTTGTAGCTGTAATCTAATAAAGGACGAATAAACTGGCTTTTATTTCTGATTAATGTGTTGGTTGATCTAAAAAAACAAAATGTTACTGCAACAGTATTTTCAGAGCCAAAAATTAAATATTTCATTTATATTACAACAACTGAAAAAATAAATAAATAAAACAAACAGCATCATCGGAAACAAGAGATTTTTCTATTTAGACATTCTTTTGTTTTGTCCCAAAAGTGATTCAATTCCCTGTTATTTAAATAAAGAATAAATGTGTAAAGTGTGAAACATTTGCTCTTTCTTGACTGATCCAATCAACAATCTTTCTGACTGTAAAACAGATGATTTTAGTTTCTACGTGAAAAATGTTCTTTTCCCCAAAAAAGCTAACAACCTGAAAAACAGAAGACAAACAACTGCTCACAGTAAGTGTTATACGGCTTTCAGCTACAACCACATCATGTTTTAGCTCAAACTCCGTGTAACTGACAGAGTTACACCCATTTTTGGGTTAGCCAATGCTGATAACTGTGGTGGCCAGCTTGAATCAGACCCAAAGGTTACTCACTTGATGCACATCAAGAGATCACTTTCTGCAACTTTGTTCAGTGCTTTGTGATTATTTTGCTAACAGATGCCCACTGAGACACGAGCAAAACATTGCAGTTAATTAGGGATGCTTTGAAACTTTGTTCTGTGCAAAATTGCCACAAATGGCTTCTGTTTGGTTCGGTTTATTATAACCGTCTGCACAATGACTGCTCCTGTAATGGATCTCATTCAAAGAGATGATTATCTTAGTGGTTTCTTGTCTGATTAAAAGCTATTCTTAATTATCCAGGTCAGCCGTGAAGGTCCAGGTCTGCTTTGTCCATTAAAGGTTGATAATTTTCTGCACTTTAATAGCTGCATCAATGTTCTTCCTTCTTTTCCCAAGATGCAACTTTTACAGATCTCTGCAGAGTTTTCAGCCTCACAGGCTTTTAATGCTGATGTACGTCATGAAAAACAACAAACTAGAGTTGGATTTGTTCAATAAATTCAATCAGGCAAAAGCAAAATGCGGTCAGTTTATTGATGTTTAATCCCTGCCACTGTTACAGATCTGAATACTCTAATACTAATGGGGGGGTCTTGATCAGGGGTCCAGAGTTGGGCAAATAACAGAGGAGGCAGATGTGGGTGCTTCACAGCAGAGCTACATTTCTGATGATTGGTGAAAATATATTTTTTAAATATTTGGACATAATAAACAGCTCTCTTATCCACGTGATTCTATAAGTTTTTCTTTCATACAGATGTTCTTTGAAGGTTTGAGGCACCTTCAGCTGTTTGGTCAAAGTGAGAAAAAAAATTAGATGAATTGATCTGACAATGCGGAAACTCTTTGCTCGACAGGTTTAGTCCAACCGTTTCCCACCCAGCAGCACATCTGAAAAACCAGGTTCAAAACATATTATTACGGATCAAAATAAGGCACACTGACTGATCACGACACGTCTTTCTAACCTGTCTTGTCTGTGAGCTCTGGTAGGTTCAAAGAGATACGAAACATGGACATAAATACATCGTTTTTGGCTTGAAATGGTGGCGTTTTGTTCAGGGCAGCACACTAACAGATAAAATCACAGCATGCATCCCTGGCAGAGAATGTTTTCTAAAGGCTGGTGTTTCCTCTCTTTGCCGTTAAGCTGAAGACATGTCAATTTAAATTTGCCCAAACAGCATTTTTCAGGTCTCTGCAGAGGTGACCTTTGAGGGTGGCATTTGGAAATTAATTCCCCTCGAGCAGCACCGGCCCTCAAACACAGTCAGTTCTTCAGAACCTTTACTTTTGGTTCTCTTTTCCAGTGACTCTTTATTTACTTCAACTTCTGGATGTCTTATTTGGGTATGCTTGCACTGACAAAACAAAACATGGGTTTATCTTAACCTGCACTTTCTATTACCCACATGCTGCAAAGGCAAAGGATTAATGTCTGAAGTGGTTCTAACTCAAAATGGCTGCCACGATGAATCAACAGCTGACCTGTTTAGTTTTCACTGTCTCAGACTTTTTGACCCCACTTACAGCACAGCACGCCCAATTTTCTCAAACTGCAACCGGCAGAGTGAAAAAGCCCAACTTAAAACTTAATTCAATCTGATTCTGTTCAGTAACGACCTCACAGACGAAATCTGCTTCTTTCAGAGCTGCAGGAAAAAGGCAACAAGCTGATTTTTAAACATCCATCCATTTTCTGTACACGCTTTGTCCTTTTAGGGTCACTGGTGCCCATATCCAGCAGTCACAGTGCGAGGGGCGGGGTACACTCTGGACAGGTCGCAAGTCCATCACAGGGTCAAATATAGAGACAAATGAGACAAACATTCACTCACACCTAGGGACAATTTAGAGTTATCAATCAACCTGTCATGTTTTTGGTCTGTGGGAGGAAGCCGGAGTACCCGGAGAGAACCCACACATGCACGGAGAGAACATGCAAACTACCCAGAAAGGTCCCCGGGCCGGGATTTGAACTGGCGACCTTCTTGCTGAGAGGCATCAGCTCTACCAACTAAACATCACAAAGAAAAAAAGACCACTTTACTCTGTTTGTGTCTCCTGCCTGGTTGAAAGTGGGCTTTATTTTTGTGTTTTAAAAGCATTTCCTGTTTGAACTCTGCCACATGGAGTTAACCCCACTTTGCCCCACCTGTTCACTATGGTCATCATCACAGCCGCCACTTCCAGTCCCTTATTCACACTTCAAAGGTACCCTAACCTTCTGGATCACCTTTTTTTTATTGCATTATTTTATTATTATTTCCTTTTTTCCCTTCTGCTACTTTTAGTCCTGTCAGAAACAGTGTTCRGTTCTTACTTTGGATCATTCTATCAGCTTTTATTACGATCACCAATCAATCTTTCTGATTGAACAGATTGAAAATGCTCACCTATTTAGAGTCAACTTTGTCTTTTAGCAAAATATCTTTTGAACCACTGGACAAATTTCAATGAAACGTGCAGGAAATAATCACTGGATGGACGTTTATAACTGAGGTATCCACCTGTAAGCATCACTCTGAGGTTTGCCCAATTTCAGACTTCTTTTGTCATGTGCAGAAACATTAGTGTACATGCTTTAGTTCATGTATGTGCAGAACAAAATGCCATTCATCAAAAAAGCTACCTTAAATGTGTAAAATTCATTTCAAACCTTGTGTTTATGTACACAACTAGTCAGAATGGTATACATAAATATCCAGAATGAGTTTGGAAGTAAAACAAAAAAGTCCAGGTATGACATTTTCTTTTTTATTTTATTTTGTTAATTAATTTATTAATTTTAATTATTTTTTTGTGCATGAAACAAACAAAGGTCACTTCTGGAGTGTGAGCCAGAAGATTCCTCAGACTGGGCTTCATAAAAGTTTGACCTCAGTTTGTCTTCGAGAGTTTAGAGTTTACAAAATGTTATTTTATTACGAGCCAACCCAATTCCAGAAGGCTGCCATAGGCAACTGACCTTAAAAAAAAACACAAAAATCATCCTCACACCAACCTGAACCAATTTACGAATTTGAAATTGCATATGGCCGATAGTGACAGATATGATACATGAGATCGCACTGAATGTCATTTTGAAGGTTTAATCAAAACGGCTACAAATCTGTCATTTCTCATAAGATTGTTTTGGTTTAAAACATTGAAATGAAGGAAAATGTGTGATGTGAATTTCTTCAAGGTGTGAGGTGCAGGCAGGGACAAACCCAGGGTGCAGGCAAAAGTCCAAAGTTTAACAAAAAGATTTATTAATTAAGCAAAAAGGCTGGCAGGCAGCTCAAAAACTCTCACAGGAGCACAGAGAACACCACACTGGCTGGGTAAAACAGCACAATGAACAGACACAGACTGAGGACAAGACACCAAATATAAGGGCAAAGAAATTAGGAGACAATCGGAAACACCTGGGGAGACACAASAGGGATCAGGTGTGCGTGGACGGGGCTGTAGAGCAGAGCAACATAGGGGAACATTGAAAACACTAGAAAATTAAAAAAAATAAACACAGACCATGACACAAGGAGTACTAGTCYTTTAACTATTTATATTAATCCCCATATTTTCCTGTTTGGAAAGCACTTTATGGTCTTTTTTTTAGTCTGGTGTGAGTGAATAAGTGTGTCTCAGATGGCAATGATGATAAAAGCAAAACATAAATGTTAAAGAAGACTTAGGGCTGTGAAATTAATCGAGTTAACTCTGATTGATTTTAGTGCTGCATGGGCAAAGATTAAAAATTTTAATCGCGATTAATTGCGATTAAAATTTCYAATCACTTTAGTATGGCTGAATATGTAGGTTTGTATATTACAAAGCACTCTGTGCATGCCAGGTCATGTTTGTAAATGAGAAGTGGTTCTCAAACAGTTTACCTGGTTAAATAAAGGTTAAAATAAAATAAATAAAATTAAAAAACTCCATGTGTAACACATTATGTACAGTTTTTTTCTTTTTGTCTTCTTTTGGTTTATTTTATTTATTTATGTTTTGCTGACAACTGTGACCTTAGTATCTACTGTATCTTTCATTCCACATGTAGTACTTATTTGACATGAAAATCCTTGAATTCTTGATTTAACATTATTCTTCACAAAATTTAACTGATTCAAATATGTTTGGAGCATTTTTAGGTCCTGTTTTATATTCAAAAAATCATGTCTAAGCATCAATTTTGTTTTCTAAATAAAAACATAAAAACTAATTAATTACTCAAGTAATTTATCTTATCAATATGCAATAGAAATGTATATTAAATTTAAGATTGATCATGATTAATTCACAGCTACTTTGGGATTAATCAGATTAGAGATATTAATCATTTGACAGCCCTAATTTTTATATGTCAACAAATCCTCATAAAGTCGTATACTTTGGTCAAAATGCAACAGGATCCCTGTTCCACTTGTCAGACGGTTGGTGTGGATGATTTTAGGGGATTTAGTGGAACATTTAAATGCACTCCTCCTCCTCATTTTATTCATAAAGATGCATAAACAGAGCCTTCAGTATCCAGTCTGATTGTTCAGAACAGTGAACACAGGTAGCAAAATATCAGAAAAACAGACGTTTCCTCTCCAATACTTACATTTCCCTCAGTCGGCAGTTCTCCAAGTTTCATTTTTTTAAAATTCTGCAACCAGATCTTTCATTATTATTTCTTCCTATTTTCACGTTTTGTAGTGCTACAAAGGTTTTATATGACACATGTAGAAAATGATCAACAAGAAACCAACTGAAGTGGCTGAGTTCACATTAAAAATGGGCAGAAAAGGACCTCTTGGTACTGAATGGACAGCTTTATTTAAAATACAATAATGTGAATTGTTTGTCCAATTGTTTAAGTAGTTCCTAAAATTGCGCATAATAAAAGGTAAAAGCAGCTGTAAATAAATGTCCCATTTTCTGAATGAATATGGGTTTTTCTTTTGTAGGTCAGTGATAAAGACAAAAAAACACAACAAATGTGATGGATGAATCAGCCAGCCTCACGTCTTATTGGTAGAGGAGAAAGTCCTTGATGCTGAGAGGGAGGAAGAGGTTGGAGGCTTTGTGCAGCCGATTCTGTCCGATGCTCCGGCGAATGCAGAAACGACATAGCTGAGACAAAGAGCAGGGCCCTGGGCCGAGGACATAGAGGACACAGCTGCTCAGAGAGTCTGATTTCTGACACAACGAGAGCGAATGATGCAACACACCTTTTTTCTGCAGTGCTAATCTGACCGCGCTGTTGGGCGTCGACAGATCCAAAGGTGTCTTTCCGTGTGAGTTTCTGTAGGACCGGTCAGCGCAAAAATCCAACAAGAGTTCAACCACGTTTGATTTTCCTGCTCGAGCTGCAGCATGTAAAGGACTGTCCTGTCCACATCCAAGGTGGACATCTGCACCTATGTGAAAACACAAACTGATTAAAAGCTGAGCATTCCTTAAAGAAATCTACCACAACAAACTGTAAAATTCTTTCAGGTATAAGCTGAGATGTCTTAGCTGTGGCATCCGTCTTGATTTAGACCAGCTTCCAAGTTAATCAGCTGAATGTTCCTTTAATAATCACTTTCTGAAAGTTTCAATAAAGTCTCTCTGTTGGTTTATTAGATATTTTCCTAATGTATAGACAAATGTATGTGTACGAGCAAAAACATTATCGCTCAAAAATAAAATGCTCACGAATCATTAGAACCCAAACTCACCATGCACTCTCCCCATCTGCTCGTTCTGAGGCAGGAAGCATAAAACCAATGACTAATGAAAAAGTTAAGAAATGGAAACTTAGAGCAGAGCTATGATTAATGCTAAATAATTAGCAGCCAAATCTGACAGTTGTACAAATTGGACTGAGTAGAAAAGCTATAAAATGCATGTGCTGCTGTGAACCATGAAATACATATTTCTGTTTCCATGGAAAGTCAAAGTGGGGGCAGAGAAAGGCAGCATACAGAAAAGAAAAAATCCAGCAGGCTACTGCAGGAACAAAAGCTGCAGCTGTATTTATTTTTTCTCAGATTGTCACACAGTTCGTTTTATCAGCAATTAATTTAACAGCTGTTTTCTAGTTTGTAAAAACATGAAGGATGACATTTTTTGTACTTTTTTCTCAGTTTCTATTTTTAAGTGTTGTTTTGTCTTAAAACCTAAAGCTGCTGATGGGTGGTGGGTAATATGCTTTCCTTTAAGGAATTCAAGGCCTTTAATCTTATTAATTACTATTTGTTAAAGTATTAATTATCCTGTATCTAAACTAACTTATAGGGAAAAACTGTCATTATTTGACTTATCATTACAACTTTAGCCATTTACTTTTCAAATTTATTTTATTAAAATACAAGCATTACATAAAATACATCTAATTTGACTAAAAACAAAGATAAAAAATGAGCGGTTTTATGTAAAGTAGTTTGGTCAGTTTTTTTGTTAAAGTKCATGCCGTTAATAATTATTTCATCATGTTGTGTTGTTAACTAGCTTGAGTATCTTTACTTTTCTAAATGTGATTACTTTTTATTTGATTTTTATTGTCCAGTCAGTTCTCTGCTAAGGTGTAAAACATGTCTACAAACCTATAACAAGCACTATTTCTGAAATAGTTTGTTTCGTTGTTTCTTTTATCCAAAAGCCCCACATTCAGTATTAGTTACCAAATTACCTCAAGTTGCAAACTCCCACAGTTAGTGTTAGGTTTGATTCATGTTGTTTTTATTTCTTCTAGTGTTTGGTTCATGCGTTTCATTTTATGAGTGTTCTGTTTGTTAACCATAGAATTAAACAATACAGCTGTATTATATGATCTCTATGATAATTGTCTCCATGTGTTTCTGTCATTCTCAGTTATTTTCCCCAGTTAGTCTATCACGCCCATTTACACCTGCTCCATGTTTCACCTGCCACAGCTGCAGCCGCCTCTCTCATCAGCCCCAGACAAGAGTGGAAAATGCAGCAATTCTAGACATCTGGTCACCCTAGGTGCAGTGTAGAGGATGGCTGCTACTTTAATCTGTGACTATTCTGACAAAAATGTCTTGTGCCCATCTTCACTTTGTAAGTTCTGCTGTGTTTTTTGTTTTTAAATACATTTTAGCTGTAAATGACAGTAAATAGAAGTGGAGAGTCCTAGACGAGAAGTGGAGAGATGAGTCAAGAATCGACATTGGACAAAGTGATAATGCTGAAACTTTTGTTTGGTACCGTTCCAGTGAGATTTATGAAGAGGACT